ACCTCTAACATTTGGAGGTCTGTAACTCTGTTTTGGACAATTCCTCCTAATATGTCCAGTCTCCCCACATCCATAACACTCTCTAGAGTCAAGCATGGGTCTCTCAGAAAAGTGTTGACCGGTCTGAGGTGGACCCCCAACTACAGTCTATAGTGAAGACTGAATGGGTCGAACTGAGTAACCTCCGGAACCCTGTACTCTAGAGTAAGAACCATTAAACTCACCTTCCTTTCGAAACCTTTTTGATGTCGATGCCATGGTGAATTCATCTGGCTTCACTCCTTCCACCTCTACCACGAAATGGAAGGATTTTGCCGTAGCCGCTACCTGTAAGGCTGAAATCCGCAACTCTGACCTCAACCCCTTCACAAAACGACGAATCCGCTCTTGTGGACTGAAACAAAGTTGGGTGGCATACCTTGATAGTGCACGAAACTTAGCCTCATATGCATTGACCGACATCCTACCTTGCTCTAGGCTCAAGAACTCATCCCTTTTCCTATCCCTCAAAGTCCGTGGGATATACTTCTCCATAAACAAACCAGAGAATGAGGCCCAAGTCATAGGTGGTGCCTCTGTTGGTTGACGCTCAACATGTGACCGCCACCACATTTTGGCGTTCCCTTGAAACTGATAACTCACGAACTCAACACCAAACCGTTCTACTATACCCATCTTGTGTAGTAGCTCATGACAGTCAACCAGAAAATCATAAGCATCCTCAGATTCAGCACCCTTGAAGACTGGAGGTTTCAATTTCAAGAACTTACTGAAAAGTTCATGTTGATCATTTGTCATTATAGGCCCGGTAGTCAGACGTGGAAACGTGCCTATGTCCAATGAGGCATCCATACGAGGAGCCATAGTGGCTGCATGTGGTACCTCTGGAGCCTGAGGTGCTGGTGTAGAAAACACTAGAGGCGTTTGACCTTGATCAGATAACCCACTAAGATAAGCAAGCACCTGATTTATCATCTCTGGGATAGGTTGGGGTGGCAATCCCTCATTCTGCACTTGTTCATTTTCCCCATCCTCCCCTTCTCTTATTACTTCCTCAGTAGGTGGAGGAGTCACTGCCCTAGTATCAGATGGGCTAGGTGCTCGTCCTCTTCCCCTAGAGGACGTCCTCCCACGACCTCTACCACGGCCTCTTGCCGCTGTTCTTTCTCGAGCTACAGCCCCAGTGGCTGGCTCAGACGCACCCTGTCCCACCGGTGCTGGTGTTGGTGTTGGCGTAGTCGTTGCTCTAATTCTAACCATCTGCGAAATAAAGTGAAGATGGTCAGATACCAATTTGTATCACCTAGATACCAATTGGACCCAAGTAATAGCACGAAAGAAAGAAAGAAAGAATTGAATTTTCCTAAAGTCTTATAGCCTGTCAAAGAAAAGTAAAGGTGTCCCCCTACCGTTCCTTAAGACTCTACTAGACTCGTTCTTGTGTGATGAGACCAACGAACCTAATGCTCTGATACAAGGTTTGTCACGACCCAAAACCGGGCCGCGACTGGCACTCACACTTACCCTCCTATGTGAGCGAACCAACTAATCTAAACCTTAACATTTCAATATAATATCAACAGAAAGTAATGTGGAAGACTTAAACTCATTAATAAAATCAATAACTATTATTATCCCCAAAATCTGGAAGTCATCATCACAAGAACATCTATGATCAAATTACTAAACTAAGAGTATTCTAAAAGCTAAAACAAGTAAAAGCTAGTCCATGCCGGAACTTCAAGGCATCAAGACATGAGAAAGAAGATCCAGTCCAAGCTAGAAGCATTAGCTCACCCTGAAGATCCGATGTAGTGAAGACTGGCTAGAGTTACTGTTGAGTCGAAGATGACGGCACGTTTGCTGCACTCCACAATTAAACAAGAAGAAAACATAAAAGCAGGGGTCAGTACAAAACACGGGTACTGAATAGATATCATCGGCCAACTCAAAATAGAAATCAATATATACCAAGTAATATCATAAAATCAACTATGATACTCAACATGTAGCAACAACAAGTACTATATCATTAACAATTACCGTCAAGTTCACACATGAGGACTCAAGCCTCAATACCATACTAATTTGGGAATCATGTTCATTAGATTGAGTATATTAACATCTTTCAAGATTCATTATCTTTATTTCTCTTGTGTCGGTACGTGACACTCCGCTCCCTCAATATTCATTAATCCTCTTGTGTCGGTACGTGACACTCCGATCCCCTAAATCTACGTGTCGGTTCGTGACACCCGATCCCGTAATTCTACGTGTCGGTTCGTGACACTCGATCCCCTAATTCTACGTGTCGGTTCGTGACACCCGATCCCCTAATACTACGTGTCGGTTCGTGACACCCGATCCCCTAATACTACATGTCGGTTCGTGACACCCGATCCCCTAATACTACGTGTCGGTTCGTGACACCCGATCCCCTAATACTACGTGTCGGTTCGTGACACCCGATCCCCTAATCTCCTTCTATCAATTCATCAAGCCTTCTTTCTTACCAAGGCATCATCAATCCCATTATTTTAGTTCATCACACCTTCTTTACCAAGGCCTCATTATTAACAAAGAGATTAGGATTTTGCAAGATTTGGGATTCAATAACTTCATCACGCTTATATAATCACAATTATATAATTACATTCATGCAAGCATACAATTAAGCACATAGCAGGGTTTGCAATATTATCAATACATATCATTCGCTATTAAGAGTTTACTACGAATATCGTAAGAGAAACCATAACCTACCTCCACCGATGATTAGAAATCAAGCAAGCAAATTCCCAAAGCTTTGTTCTTCTTCTCTCTCTATTCGTTCGTTCAACTTTCTCTCTCTTTCTCTTGTTCTTTCTATTTTCTTTATTCAAACTCTCTTTCTTTTACCCTAATTAATATATAATTAAGTGTAAAAGATGACAATAATAACTCACAATTTAACTCAAGGTTACCTCTTTTATCCCCCAAGAAATTGAGTTATTAATATAAACCCACGAAATATATAATTATAGCAGGAATAGTCCAAAACGCCCCTTTAAAACTTAACCAGAAATCCTACTCCGACTGGGATTACGCATCCTGTGACGGGCCGTCGTGCCTGTGACGGGCCGTCGTGCCGTCCTGCTGCTCCGTCACAGAGTTCAGAGACTGAAATTCTCTGAAGAGTCTGTGACGGTCCGTCATGCTATTCCGTTACGATGTTCAGAGAATCGTTCCCTGTACCAAATTCTCAAGAGTTGAAGTGTTTTGAAACGGTGGATCACGACGGTTCGTCGTGCCTGTGACGGTCCGTCCTGCAGGTCTGTCACAGAGTTCAGAGAGTCGATTTCAACACCCAAATTTCAGAATTTCTAAGTGTTTTGGGACGAGACACCCTTGACGGTCTGTCGTGCCCATGACGTTCCGTCGTGGTTCCGTCGTCTCAGCCTGTTTTTCCAGAAATAAAATCTGCTGCTCAAAACGACTAAACAGGTCGTTACAAATATTTATGTATTTGGAAGATTTTATGTATACAGGAATTAAGAGATTTTTGAAATTTGAAAAAAATAGAGATAAATGGATATTAAGGTAAGTTAATGTGTGTATATAAGTAATTTTTCTATTTTCTAAAAGTGAAGTGTTATAATTGAGTTTAGGCCCAATTTGCAAATTTTGCAGAAACTTCAAATGGGGGCTTTGACCCATTTTTCTAAAAAAAAGAACTGGTATACATTGGATGTATACATGTTGTATACGGGTTGTGTTTTGCAGAAACTTCAAATGGGGGCTTTGGCCCAATTTTCTATAAAAAAAAGATCTGGTATACATTGGATGTATACATGTTGTATACGGGTTGTGTCTAATCCATTTTTGGCCATCCGAAACCTGTATTTTATTTTCACTTTGTATTTCCACCCTTTTCAACCTGTATTTTCATGTATTTGCACTTACACATTGTTATTTTATCTTATATATCATTGTATACAGGAGGTATGCAACTGATATACAACATGCTCCTTGGGCCTGTTACTGATGCATTTTGATTGTGTCTATCAGCATATATCGCTGTATTTCTGCATTTTTTTCTATGTAAAATTCTATACAACTAGTGTATATCAGCTTATTTTTCTGTATATCATTTGTATATTGATATATACAATCACTTTTTATGCCTTCAAGACCTGTAAGTCAACTCCTCATCACCACACATCATCTTCCAATTGGTTTGGTTAAGTCGAAAAGGAATAAAGTCAGATTTTGACTCAACTCAAGATGCAAATGCGGAAGAAAGAGTCTGGTAAACTCGATTTAAACCGGTTCATGCATAAAGAAATCATTAGAATCTAATTTGCAGCCATATCAATATACTACCGAGATTCCAAGTGTTAGGATATGGATCATGGTTTAAATGACCATCTAAAGGATAAACAAATGAACCAACAAACACAGAATGAAATTAACATCATCTAAGCTTTGATACAACAAAATAATACATATTATAAAAAAAAAAAAAAGACTCTAAAGGATGAATGTAATCCTAAACAAAATAAAGTTAAGCTACTAAATAAACTCATAACAGTAACTCAAGTAAATTAAAATAAACAAATATGCTACTTTTGAACTCTAAAAAAGATCATTATGCACAAGTAGAGTGGATATAATTTAGTTAAAATATGAAAAATCATTTAGTTTTCCTAATAAAGATAAAGAAGCAGGAAAAAACAATCCTATCTCAAGATTGAAATGAAGTTATAATCCCAACTACTGAAATTCTTGGACAGAAAATTGTTACTGAGTCTAAATCCTTCTTAATAGAGTAGAAAACAGAACATCTAAACTATTTCGACAAGAGAGACAGAAACCGACCTTGGAGAATAAAAAAGGGGTCAGCAACTTCAAATACAAACATATGAAACCAAGGGAACTTCATTGATTCTTGGGAACACATTAGTAGTAGTAGTTGTTTGCAACAAATTTTAAACATATGGAAAATAAACAAACCATACAAATAAAATATGAAGAAACATGATTTTATTCATCAAGATTGTGAGTACAAATCTGTTTCTCCCTTGATTCTACTCTCTAAGATGATTTAACCATGATTCGAGGACCGTTAGTGGCGTATTTCTCGAACTGGGATGATTTAGATTTGACCTCTCTATATGAATAATCCATCAATTTGTGGAGTATTCGAGATCTTGATCTCTTTGGGAATCTTTTGAGATGCATTTTAAGGGAATTTAGTAACCGGCATAAACTAGGGTTTAGGGTTGAGTAGCCTCCAAAAATTTTTATCTGAGTTGAACACAATTTGTAGAGTTCCAACCAACTCGAATTAAACGCATCTTGTAGAGTCCTAAAAAATTTCAATGTCAAGAGAAGAATAGCATGTGATTCAAAACAACACGACAAGCTAAAACATAAAACAAACAACAACCTGACTGGTTCCTTAAATTAAACGAAACATGAGTAATACAATAGTCAGTCAGAAATCCCAACAGTGAAGATAATGAGCAATGAATAATCATATTCAAATCGAGCAAGAAATAAGTCACAGAAAGCCCAATCGAGACGGGTCAATCGCACAATACTCGGAATTGAAATGAATAGTAAGCAAGGGAAACACATTACCTTTCTCTGGGCAGCGACCTAAAAACTCGAGCTACTGGAGACAATTCCACCACCAATAGATGAACTCCGGCGAGCTCCGAAGAATAACACAGTCTTGAATTCGTGTATAAGGAACTAAAAATCTCTGTGTTATAATAGGAATTATAAATTAATTAATGAGCCTCTTAATATTAACAAAATAAAATAATCGACTTAAGTATATAAAATAATTAATCCTAAATTGTAAACTATCATATAACAAAAACTAATTTAGTAAAATAGTTAAACAAAATTAAATCTTTTTGAGATGATTTTTAAATATTTATAAAATATATTAATTGTACACATAATCAGATGAAAACATATTTACTAATTATAAATTATAAAAATCGACTACGATTACTTAAAATAATTTTGAAAAGTATTTGAATTCTATAAAAATTAATTCTTCTAAATCGTTTGAGAACTAAGAAGCTCGTGAACTAAATCATATCGTGGGTCAAAATTGAATGTCAACAACTGTCCTCATTTTACTTTGATTGATACAAGAACTTCAAGGAAAATGAAATTAACCAAGCCAATTTTAACTGTCCACATACTCATCTTTTTTAAAAAAGGGATTTGATACGGACTTTAGGAATTATGACAGAACCCCAAAAATGGATTTTCTACATATTCAAACCACTTGTAGTTTGATAAGCCTGATTTAACACACGATTCTGAAAGAATTCAAAAGTTATCCCGATATCAAATTATGAAGCAAATGTGACGCTCGAAAATAAGATTTGAGTGCGAATGTGGAAATACAACCGTGTTTTCAAAGTTGCCGCCTACATATCCCTCCATTTATGGAATCAGACTGCTTGTAGTTCGATTCGATCGGTTGAAAAGGAAACTTAGTATGCTAAGATAACTTTTTGTTCTAGAAGAGTGACAGACAAGTCGAGTATAAAGAAAGGCTTGCAACCTCTTAGCCATGAATGTGGGGTCTTTCACACCCATAATTAAGAACTTACACTGACATAATTCTCAAAACTCTTAGTGCACTATCACTCAGATTGGAAAGATGCCACCGGTGAAAATAAATTTTTCGGATGCAAAACTTAAACCAAAAACAGTAAGAAAAATCCACATGTCTTCTGATAGGGGTGTGGTTCGAATGTGGTGAAAGTCGCTCCTCAGCTCGCGTCTTAGAAGTTTGACACTCTCTTCGGACTTGTGTTGCATCCTTGTTGATGTCGTCCACACATGTGGTTTTATTTGAGAATTCACCCTCTTAGATGCTCTTGACAAAGACTGAAACAACATATTAGTGGAAAATGAAACTGAAAAAATGGTAGTGTCTCTTACGATGCTTTTCAGTTACTCTTGATGTGAAAGATGTCACATAAGTATGTTCAGTATATGTCACGACCCAAAACAAGTCGTGAGTAGCACCCACACTTAACCTCCTAAGTGGGCGGACTAAGAAATTCAAACCCAACATATATCACTAATTCAACTATGAATAACAACAATAATATAGAAGCTCCAAAACTTATTAAAGTAATCAATCAAATGAATCTCTAAAGTTTATTACATATTATCCACAAAATCTGAAAATTATCACATCAAGGACATCTAATCTTCAAATACTAAGTCTGAGAGTATTAAAGACACAAAATAAATGAACAAAATAGTTTATGTCCAAAAACTAAGGACATCATGTCATGTCCAAGAGAATCCAACACGAGCTTGAATGAATAGTTCACCCTGGAACCTGATATGCTGAAGACTGGCTAGAGCTGAGGACAATTTGAAGTCATTGGTACACTCGTTGCACTCCATAAAAGGAAAACAAAGAAAAACACAAGTAGGGCGCAGTATGGGGCAACATGTACTGAGTAGGTATCATGGGCCAACCCAAATAGAAACTAATATACGATGAATAATAGTATGAACTCAACTATGACACTTAATAGGTGGTAAGCAACAAACAACATCAAAAAGTGACTACATAATCAATCACAATATTAAACACGCCCATGAGGATTCATGCCTCCATGCCACGCTCATTTGAGAAATGAGTTATTTGAGGTTGAGTACATTAAGTTAATTCCATATCTTTTTCCTTTAATGTTACCGTGTCGGAACGTGACACTCCGATCCAATTATATTATGTCAAAACGTGACACTCTGATCTAAGAATACCGTGTCGGAATGTGACACTCCGATCCAAGAATATTATGTCGGAATGTGATATTCTGATCCAATTATACTGTGTCAAAACGTGACACTCCGATCCAATAATATCATGTGAGAACGTGACACTCCGATCCAATTATACTGTGTCGGAATGTGACACTCCGATCCAAGAATATCATTAATTTATCATTTATTATCACCACTTTTAATTAATTGATAATATTTCATCAAACCTTTTTTATTCAAGGCATCACTTCGATAAAGAGGGTTCAAGAATATAAATTTCACGATCTCAGGATTTCAAACCAATCATAAACACACAACCAAGCAACACAATCAAGTACATAAAAAACTTCAGAATATCATTCAATGCATATCAATCACTATTAAGAGTTTACTATCAAATAGCATATACCATAACCTACCTCCACCGAAGTCAAGCAAACTACGTCTTTAGTGCTTTTGCTTTCCTCAATGCCTCTGAACCTTTTCAATCTATAAAGTACATATACATAATTTGTAATAAAATATAACTAATATTTAATTACTATCTCAATTTATTAAAACTTTAATCACAACCCAATAATTTTAAGAAATTAAGGACCAAACCCACATATTACAATTGACCGTATCATTATTGTATAAGGATGATGACTGCAAGTTTAATTTAGGCCCCCACATACATGGATTCGATATTTTCCAAATATTCTATTGCCTTTGACCAATCATATCTCATCATGATTTAATATTTAACTTCCTCACATTTTTATCCAAAATATCAACCAATCACTGAACCAATTGCATGCATATTATCACTACACCTTTTCGTTTCATATATAATTTCTTTAATCCCCTAACAACCATCCATGTAATTAAATAATTCCCACCCCTACTTTCATTCAAAAATTCAATTTTCCGATCCATAAAACCAACTCATGTAACACCATATGCACATACATGAATTTAACACTAATTTCCTTACCCCTTTAACAATTCCCATCATGATCCTGAAGTTGGTCACTTGGAATTTTTCAGATGTCTACAGGTTTCACGTAGATTAAACAAATAAGGTTTCTACAAAAAATTTTAACCTAAGGAGTCAATAATCAGTATCCACAAATCTTTCACCAAATGGAGAATTATTTATATAGGAAATTTACGCATATCATGTTGAATATCATATTGAGATCCAATAAATTGCGCAAAACCAGATATTGGAACCTGTGGAGTTACAAAATCAACTGATTGCTGACTAGAAAAATTAACATTAGTGTTAGAGGGCCCTATAGAAAAATTAAACATGGGATTATAAGGCTCGGAGTCGTCACATTAGTATTAGAGGGCCCTGCAGAAAAATCAACTGTTTCACCAGCGGTCTTTCTACCTCAACGTGCACCCTCTCTCGGTGTTGTTTGTCGTGATCGGCGAGATACTTGTACTGGTGGTGGTTCATTGTATTGAGTGGGAGGATTGTAATCAGGATCAAAGCTCAATCGCGTTCCCTGGAAGGCCGCATTCATTGACTCCATTGAAATACGAGCAACTTCCTCTGCATATTGTCTCATTTCATTAGATTGATTTTCATCATTTTCAATCATCCGAGCTCGATGATACTGAATTTCATGACCCCTAGCTTATAATGAATAAACAAATATTAATAACAAAAAATTATTAAAGATTGACATAATAATTTAAAATTTACATAATATACATACTAATGTCTCATGTCTTCCTGCCCTGTGTTGATACCCTTTTTTTACAACATGTTGTGAATTTACAATGACCATGAGGATATGCCTCATGTACCAACGAAAGTAATCTGTTTGATCACTTACAAATGGAGGTCGAAATATACGATTTTGACGTTGTTCCCATAAATATTGTGTGTAGTTAAATTCATCTATATCTTCTTGTTTTATTTTGGATCGTTTATCACGCTTAAAATGATATTCAAAAAATTGGGTACATGGTCCAGGAATATGTTGTAAATAACCGAACTGTCTCACAACACGAACAACCATGTGCCACCCACGATAAATTCCATAAATCAGTGGCACCTGTGCCATCCAGACACGTTGTCTCGACCGACACCACTCAGGCAATCCATTAATAACATCTTCCGAATAAGGTTGCCAAATAAACTATAAAAAAATAATTAAGTAAGATAATTATTAAAACAACATTGACAGAAAAATAAAAAAAAATATGTACGTGAAAATGAACAATCTTACAAAATAATTTTTTTGAACCATTGTGTCATAAGATATTTTACTTTTAAGGACCTAACAAGAATCTATGTATATGTCATTTTATTCACATAATTTTCTTGGGTAGTGAAACATAAGTGCCTCATTTAAAGATCTACCAAACATATTTGTATTTAAAATGAAATAAAATATGAATAGTTTAAGATACTAATAATATTAAATACCTGTTCATCAGTTAGATTATCTAGTACATCCCTAATCACACCGATTACAGTTCGTGCCTCATTTTGATGATTTCTACGTCGCGTCCATTTACGTGCAAGCGCAGTTGAAGCCTCAAGTTGATTGGTCCTTAGAGGCTTTGACAATGGTTGCAGGGGAATAATTCTTTCCCATGCCCAAATCTACAATAAATAAATTCACCATTACTTATAATGCACTTAAATTTAAAAGTGCATATTACTAGTATATAAAAAATATTTAATTAAAAAATATGTATACCTGCACTAAAGAGAGAAATCCACAAACTTCATTTGATTTTTTCATTGATGCACGACATAAACAATTATATAAATATGATAATGTGACTGGTCCCCATGCTTGAGTTGACATTAAATCTAAATTTCTCATGTCAATCAAAATGTCCAAATTAATATTATTAATAGATTTATTCGAAAATATTGATCCACCATATAACCATAATAAATATAATTTAAATCTTTGTTGCACTTCATGCTCAGTTCAGTGATCATTAATACCATCCAAACCTTCAATATAATCAATCAATTTATATGTTAACAATCTACTAACACCAGAAAAACAACTAGTATCGGGTAACCATCCTGTTAATTCAAATATCATTTCTTGTCTACTGATAATCCCTAAAGAATCATCTCCATTTAAAATTATAGGACTACCATCTACTACCATTCTAAATAAAATTTTAATATCTTGTAAAGTTATGGTAGTCTCGCCAGTTCGCATGTGAAAAGTATGATTTTCTAGACGCCATTTTTCCATTAAAGCAGAAATTAATCCAGAGTCATACGACTCCTACATCAATAATTCCTTTATATCTACAATTTTCAAAATATTGACGGATGCGAGAATGTAATGGATGATATTTAATATGTTGCCAAAATTCAATATCACCACGACGCGTATATAAGCAAGACCTCTTTTCTTTTATGCTACCATTCCAAATTCCTTCAGAACGATGATGAACTTGAATTTTTAATACATCATGCTCTACTGGACCAGGATGTACGTATACATTTGACGGATGCATATCTATACACAAAAAATAAAAAGAAATATTTACATTAATATAAGTATCAAAAGATTGAATATATCAACAATATCATATAAAAGTATAAAATAAATTAAAAATAAAATAAATTCAAACTCACCTTATAAAGAAAAGGCTTTTAAAAACTTTAGAAAATTGGAAAAATAGAAAGACTTTTAAGATTGTTGGAAAATTGAAAAAGTACAATGCAATATAAATAAACAATTCATCAATTTATAGCAAAGTAAAAATGTTGACACTATTTGCACGTGAACTGTATTCAACAATTTTTAATAAAACAAAAACTACACTATTTACATGTGAATTCAATCAATCCATAATAAAATAAAAATTACACTATTTGCATGTGAATATTCAGTCAATTTATAACAAAATAAAAATTACACTATTTACATGTGAAATACAATTCAATCAATTTATAACAAAATAAAAATGTAATATGTGACTTTGACACTAATTGCATGTAAATTGACCCAATTTTTTTATAAATGCATGTAAATATTTTAAAAAAATTTGAATATTTTTGTAAGAATTTGATATGTCACTTTTTTTTTAAGTTGACATGTGATTATCTTCAAAATATTTTTTTTTAAAAAAACATATATAAATTTGAACGAAAGGGAAAGAGCTAAAAGGAATTAGTTGAAAAAAGTAAAATACTACTCCCCCATTCTAATTACAACCTTCAAAATTAAAATAAATTTTAAGTAATGCTTAGTTTCTATTGCGGCAGTAGTGGGTAAACCAATCCAATTAGATGAAGACACGAGCTAGTTGTGCGCGAGTGAATACACATACTCAACAAAATTCATAATAAGTGATCCATAGTAACAATATTTGTCTAGTTGATGGAGGAGATATTAAGCAGATTGAATATGAAAATGATAGATGAGCATGAGGCCAATGGAGAAGCTAGGACTTGTAATAACGGCATTCAAATAGGAAGAACTAGACATACGAACTAACCGTAATATCTATAATATATATACATAAAAAATAATTTTATACTATATATAAATAGTAATATTTTCCATCTGATAACAGAGTTTTGCACGATATACTATCTCCTAATGTTATTGCAGTAAAATTCCACCAAGCTTTTCAGAGAGTGCAAATGCTACACAACTTCCATAATTTCTTATTCACTGGAACCTTTTCAAGATTCTAGACGTATCAACAAGTATAGACGGAGAGTGAAGATGTCAACAAATTGTTTTAGAAGATATGACCTATTAATATACTTTGTGAAGTCTGAATTATTTTTTGTTAGTTACTATATCATATCATGCACTTGGTGAGAGCCAGATGATATGAAACCAAGACTCATAGGTCAATAGTAGGAGGAACTTTGTAAGATCTCTGTTAGTATTTATTCTCTTATGTCACATATTCCAATAATTTTTGCTACTTTTGAGACTCTTCTAGTAAGATGGTGGTATTAACCTATTAATAACCTTCTCGTATTTAAAGTGAATAATTTTCATTCTTCTGTTAGATATTAAAAAATTAATAAATCTTATAAAAACATGAGCAGTTTTTGTGATTATCAACAAAAATTTTCTTGCATGATTTCATTACTAAAAGTAGTTCTTGAAAAAAACATTAAAAATCTTAGATACTATTGCTTACTCAAATAAAAAATGTTTGAAAGGTATGAGGATACATACTCTAATCTTTTTCTTATGTAGTAATAGAACAAAGCTAGAGCTTAATTATCTTTACCTTTTTCACAGCCAAGATGTATTTAGATCAATAAATTTTTGGGCTAGAAGTGATCATAATATTGATTACGTCTTGCATTTGAGTTTCATTCTGCATTATTAGAAAAGGAAGTCTCCAGAAAACGCAACTTCTAACATATTCAATTAAGAAGAAACATCTTTCAACTTATAACATTTTTAATATCAAATTACAGGAAAAATAAATGAAAAAAAGAACTAACAAATTAAAGGATTTTGCATAATGCTGAACTCAATTTCAAGTTTACTATAGTATTTGTTGTATCAAAGAATAATATTTACGAAGGGTGATTTGATTTTTGTGGGATCTTTTCTAATAAATTCAAGTAGAAGAATGAAAATTGTTTACTTGTCACGACCCAAAACGGGTCGCGAGTGGCACCCACACTTATCCTACTATGTGAGCGAACCAACCAATCTAAACCCCAACATTTCAACCATAAATAACAGAATATAATGCGGAAGACTTAAAACTCATTAATATAACCAATAAATAACTTCTAAAATTTATCAATTACTATCCCCAAAATCTGGAAGTCATCACCACAAGAACAATCTATCCTCAAATTACTAAATCTAAGAATGTCTAGGAAGCTAAAACAAATACAAGAGATAGTCCATGTCCGAACTTCAAGGACATCAAGGCATGAATGAGAGAGAATCCAGTCCGAGCTAGGAACAATAGCTCACCCTGGAATCTGACATGGTGAAGACTGGCTAGAGTTGCGGTTGAGTTGAAGATGACGGTACGTTTGCTGCACTCTACAAATAACAAAGAGAAAACAAACAAGTAGGGGTCAGTACAAGCACAAGTACTGAGTAGATATCATCGGCCAACTCAAAATAAAAAGCAATATATATCAGATAATATCATAAAATCAACTACAATACTCAACAGGTAGCAGCAACAAGTACAAAGATCATTGATAATAACACCAAGTACACCCATGAGGACTCAAGCCTCCATACCATACTCATTTGGGAAATAGGTTCATTAAATTGAGTCCATTAACATAATTCAAGATTCACTCTCTTTATTCCTCTTGTGTCGGAACGTGACACTCCGATTCCCTAATACTACGTGTCGGTTCGTGACACCCGATCCCCTAATACTATGTGTCGGTTCGTGACACCCGATCCCCTAATACTATGTGTCGATTTGTGACACCCGATCCCCTAATACTATGTATCGGTTCGTGACACCCGATCCCCTAATACTATGTGTCAGTTCGTGACACCCGATCCCCTAATACTATGTGTCGGTTCGTGACACCCGATCCATTAACCTCATTCTTTTAGTTCATCAAGCCTTCTTTTATACCGAGGCATCATCATTAATAGAGAGGTTTTTAAGGTTTAAGATTCAACAGCCTCAGCATGCTAATTCATCACAATTACATAATCATATCATGCAAGCACACAATTAAGCATATAGAAGACTTTACAAAATTACCCAATACATATCATTCGCTATTAAGAGTTTCACTACGAAATAGAATAAACCATAACCTACCTCCACCGAAGAATTCGCGATCAAGCAAGCTATCCCCAAAACCTTTGCTTTCCTCTTCGTTTCTCTCTTCTCTCGATCATTCGTCTCTCTTCTCTCTGTTTCTGATTTTTTTCTTTATTCAAACTCTTTTTCTTTACCCAAATTACCATATGATTAAGTATAAAAGATGATCAAAGTAACCCACTAATTAATTCAAGGTTATCTCCTTTAACCCCCAAGTAATTGAATTATTAACATTCAACCACTAACTTTATATTTATAAGCAGGAATAGTCCAAAACGCCCCTTAAAACATTTAACAAAAATCCGACCCAGTCAGGGTTACGCAGTCTGTGACGGGCCGTCGTGCCTGCGACGGTCTGTCCTGCTGAGTCGTCACAGAGTTCAGAGACTCAATTTTTATTTAAGACCATGTGACGGTCCGTCGTGCCTACGACGGTCCGTCCTGCTCTTCCGTCGCAATGTTCAGAGAGTTGTTCTCAGTACCCAATTTTTCAGAATTCTAAGTGTTTTGGAACGAGACACCCTCGACGGTCCGTCGTGGGATCCGTCGACCCAAACACTTATTACCAGAATAAACTCTACTATTCAAAACGACTAACAGGTCGTTACAATAGATACCAATTTACCCATCGTTCGTCCACGAACGATCACAAGAAGAAAAATAAGGGCGAAAAGGAGTACCTGAATCTGTAAACAGGTGTGGGTATTTTTCTTGCATATCAGCCTTCTTCTCCCAAGTGGACTTTTCAACTGGCCGATTCTTCCATTGAACTTTGACAGATGCAATCTCCCTTGACCTCAACTTGCGGACTTCCTTATCTAAGATAGCAACAGACTCTTCCTCATAAAACAAATTCTCATCAAGAAGAACTGAATCCCAACTAATGATGTAGTTCCCATCCCCATGGTATCTTTTCAACATAGACACATGAATTACCGGTTGCACTCCTGATAGTCCTGGGGGCAAGGCTAATTCATAAGCTACCTCCCCCACGTGTTTCAGAACTTCAAATAGACCAATATACCTCGGACTAAGCTTATCTCGCTTACCAAACCGCATCACCCCTTTCATGGGTGAAACCTTCAGCAAAACTTGCTCGCCCTCCATAAACTCCATGTCTCTAACCTTTCGATCCGCATATTCTTTCTGCATACTTTGAGCCGCTAAAAGCTTTTCTTGAATACATTTCACTTTATCTAACGATTCCCTCAGAAGATCAGTACCCCAAGGTCTAACCTCAAATGCATCAAACCACCCAATGGGAGACCTACATCTTCTCCCATACAATGCCTCAAATGGGGCCATATCAATACTTGAGTGATAGCTATTGTTGTATGAGAACTCTGCTAAGGGTAAGAAGTTATCCCAATGACCACCAAACTCTATCACACATGCACGAAGCATATCCTCCAAAACTTGAATCGTTCGCTCAGACTGACCATCGGTCTGAGGGTGAAATGCAGTAATAAGATCCAATCTAGTACCTAATTCAGCATGCAATGTTTTCCAAAACTTAGAAGTAAACTGCGTACCTCTATCTGATATGATGGAGAGTGGAACTCCATGCAATCGAACAATTTCTGAGATGTAAATTTTGGCTAACTTCTCTGCATTATAAGTCACCTTGACCGGAATGAAATGAGCAGTCTTAGTTAGTCTGTCAACAATCACCCAAATAGAGTCATACTTACCCGTCGTCTTTGGAAGACCAACCATGAAGTCCATTGCAATTCTCTACCACTTCCATTCAGGAATGAGCATTCTCTGAAGTGTCCCTCCAGGCCTCTGGTGTTCATACTTTACTTGCTGACAATTCGGGCATTGAGCAACAAAATCAACAATGTCACACTTCATCCTGCTCCACCAAAAATGTTGCTTTAGGTCACGATACATCTTGGTTGCACCAGGA